AGCAAAAAAAAACCTTTTTTAAAATAACATTTATATAGTATATTTAATTAATTCGTGACAAAACGAAACGTCCTTTTCCTCCCACGTCTGCCCACGCATTGATTACGTAGACTGAGTGTTATTTATTCTGTTCATATACCACACAAACGTGTCTGCAATGTTTTTATTTCATCTCGAATCTTCACACAAATACACATATCAATGGATAGATGTCTGTGTACTGATTGTACGCAACACACTTCCTCCTAGCAATCGTTAATTTAAAACAGTAACACACCCTACCGACTGAAACCTTTCGAGAATTCTGAAACGAAAACCATTTTGTTAAATTGTTAAAAATTGGTTTGTTCTACTTACTAACGCTCTACCTAATGTATGATTTAATGGTATTCCAAATGTGTTTAAAAAATACATAAAAAAAAACAAAGCAAATAAAAAAATTATAACTTACCTCATTGTACCCGTTACTGTTAAAAAGTCAATTTATATTTTATTCTTTTCTGATATATCATTGTAGATGAAAGATCTTGTTGGAAAGTAAGTTTGGCCCACATCCATAAATCTTTGCACACAGGAAATCCGAAGCGAAACTTCTTTTAAACTTTTTTGTAATCAGATGTCCTTTAAAAAAAGAGAAACTGGCTCCGATACTTTCGATCAGTCGATATTTTCTTATATCACTTTTCGTTCTAATAGACATTTTTATGCAATTTACATTGCTTTTTGTAGAGTAAAGTGTATTACCAAAAAATGGCTACGATGCATACTACGATAAATTATTTTAGTTATAAGTGTAGAAAATAATCACAATAAATCTGTTAAAATATAAATATATTTTCGTGATTTTCTACGTTATTCTAGTTTACTTTTATAAATCTTAGAAATTTCGTAACATCAGTGTTGCCATACGAAGTAATCAATCTTATTTTACTCGTATCGCTGCACAAAGTAACGTTAGTAAGACGTGAGAGTTTGAATAACAAATGTATTCCGCATAAGAGTAGCTTTAACTGCATAGAAGCATTTTATACTTAGCACAAAGTAGCCTTTAAGGCTTTGGTAGCTTTTTTAGCTAAAGTTCAAGTCTTTTAACAACTTATACTAGAATAATTTGTTTAGAGAACGGGAAAAAAGTAGGGAATTGAAAAACGGAAAATGTTTTCTTTATTGTAGGTTCAGAATTTTAAAGTGCTTGTCCTGGAATTCTTTCTATAACAAAACATAAAGTTATCATAACTCTTATCTCTCATTCTTAAAAAAATAATATAACATTGTTATTGTATGAGTTAGGGCGGAAACTCGTGGAAAAACAACCTTGTAATAAATCAAAATTGACAACTGGCTAAGAATGTATCTAACAGAACAAGAAATAAAATCAAAATAACTGTAGAAAAAGACCCGAAAGCTTTAAACTGAAGGTATTACTAAAATAAAATGGAAATGTACTTTTTGTAAATTCGTAAATTTTAACTTGAATCCAACTCGGCTTGTTATTTTCGGCTGAGTGCAGTTGTCAGATTTCAGTTGTTCGCATAAACTAACAAAGGTAACTTTTAACAGGCAATTTTATATAGTGAAGCATTTTTAATAGTTTGTAAATATTTGCATTTTATTTTATTTATTTAGGTCGTGGGAACCATAGTAACGATGTCCTGCTATGTTTTATTGATCAGACGAGTACCAAATACTTTTTACATCTAAAAAAATTGCCAAATGAATTACACTTTTTTTAACTCGATTACTACATTCTTATAATGAGGATTTTATTATTTATTTAATATTTCACGATTTGCTAGCGAAATATTAAAAAATAATCTATACTAAAGACTTTAGGAAGGATCAGTTTATAACTCTTTATTATAGTTGATTCCTAAAGATCACAAAAGTCTGATATAAAATTTATATTCACTTCGGAATTACATCATGGCTGTCTATCCTGGTCCTGGCTAGCCTCTTAGAAAATCTTCATGTTTCTGCTAACCTTAAAAAATCTCTGTCTGTGCCATAAGGTAACTAATAGTTGATTGATGATTCTTATATTTAGCACAGTAAAAAAAATGTAAATTTAGTGTAAAGCAAAATGTCATCTAAAAAAAGTTCAGCATTCCGTGAGTTATATTTTGCAAGCGTTCCATTCCTACTACTCAACAATTCATTTCACCTTCCGCTTTAGAAATCATGTTTCTAGACGATAAAATAAAATTCTCTTTCCATTTCCTTTCAGTTCTTTAAACACTTTATTTTCTATGAAGTGAATAAATTGCTTTTATTATAAATTTAATGTAAATCTGGAATGAGATTTAAGTTACAATTTATAAATTGCTTTTGTCAGGTTTTTGTATTAAACGGAACTCTTATTTAAAATTAAACTTAACATAGTTTGAAACATCAAATAATAAATATTCGCTTAAAATTCCAAGTGTGTTTCAACGATCGATAAAATCAGATTACATTACCAAAATCTGCAAATCACTCCGTCAACCGATAGGTAACAAGAGACTGCAATTGCGATTTAATGGTTTTATGGTTCAATTACTGAAGCCTTGAAAGACGAAGTAAAACCATTCCAAACATCATAATCTTTTAAAATAAATTCATAAGTGCTCTTTTATGGTTATCCCGGTCACTTCCCGTTAGAGAGCCGGGTCTGAGATTTACGTATCTCTTGAATTATTCATGCTGCTTAAACGTGCAACTCTTAATAATAAACTAAACTTTTGTTTAAATCTTTAATCTAAATAAAACATCTTTATTTTAAGATTCTTTTAGCAATAGATTAATGCAATTTTTTAAATCAAGAATCCTTATCTAGATTTATAGATAGATGTATTGCTAAATTCAGTTATTGCTGAGTGCTATAGGCTATAGCTATGGGGTAACACACATCTTGGTGTTTTTCTTGAAGACAAGTAAGGGAAAGTATACAGAATGTTTAAACTGTTTGTTTGTTTGGAACGATTCCTGCCGCCGAGATGCGTCATCGAACGACACGACAGACCGCCAGGTACCATCCTCACCATCTCGATGGCTGGCATTCCACAACCGTGCGGTTTTCGTGGAACTTTCTGCCTCGCACAGCCGCGTTATGGAACGGTTTGTACTGGCAATATTTCCAAACCAATACAATTTAAGGTCCTTGAAGAAGCGAGCCTATCATTTCCTCAAAGGCCGACAACGCCGCATCTGTAGTTCCTCTGGTGTTGCGTATGTCTTTGGCTTCGTTGACGACCTCGGTGTTCTTGCCGGTCGTCTGCCTCCTTTTATTATTAAAAAAATTACCAGTTTCTAAAAAGAGATTTATGTTTTTTTGCAACAACGTTGACAATAAAGTCAATACAGAAAATTATTTCTTAAATAAGTTAAAAATGTTGATTAAAAATCGTGATAAAAAGATTCCATTTTTTGACGGTTTATGACTAATGCCGTTAAATACAGAAGTCATTAAATTCTTTAAGTAAAAAAAACAATTTTGTTTACTCTTTGCAAACTGTCATGTTGACAGTGACAGTGACACCAAAATCTGTCTTGTCTTCGGCTACCACCTAAAAATAAAGAACTTTAATTAATGACATCCTATAATCAACAATAAAAACCAAGTATACTTACAGAACACGTCTTTTATTTTAATGAAATAAAACTACAAATAATATGGTTCGCCGACTGCGAGAACAAAGCACAACCGAAGATGAAATTGTGATAGGTACAAATTATTTATGTTTTGATAAATACACCTGAATTTTAAAATGCGGAATTATAAAATTGTTAACAATTTTAGATACTTCGCAAGAGAAGAAACAAAAGCGGCACAAACACAAAAAACATAAAAAGAGAAAACCTGAAAATGACTATGACAGCGACACATCTATAGATGTCTCATTTGAAGATGGTTTAGATAAATCATACAAACTTAAGTCAAAAAAAGAATTGCCAGGCACGTCTGCTGCTGATTATTTAAAGTCTCAAACCATGAAGTCATCATCTGATTCGAGAAAGTCAATCCCCGGCTCATCATCTAGTACTCCTCCAAAAGCTATTGCAAAGAAAAAGAAGAAAGGCAAAGATAGTGGCACATCTAGTGAGGAAGAAAGATGGCTGGATGCTATAAAATCAGGAAAACTCGAAGAAGTATGTAAACTTTGACAACTTTTTTAATTTACCTATTACTGTAAAACCCTTTAAAACTGCAGAAAAGGTTTAGGCAAGGTAGAATTCAAAACAAATTTTTTTTTACTGTAACATATTGTATCTTTAAAAACTACCCTCAGGCAAATCCTAAATATCTGGCATTCATGGTTGTAAGTGTAATATAAATAAAGATTTCTGGCATTTTTGATTTTATTAATAGTCAACTTTAAGAAATTTCATGTTCTTTATTGACAGGAAATATTGGTATAACTAATTAATTAAACAGCTATATGTAGTAACTTTATTAATGCCCGTTTCAGGTAGATGAGGAGTTGAAAAAAATAAAACCAAAGGATCCTAAAATGATGACAGCACGGCAAAGAGCAATGTATGAGCGAGGAAATGATAAGGAAACAAGCCCTGGAGGTGAAATATTGTTAGCATTGCCATCTGGCTATAAAGAAAAGGTCATGACTGCAGAAGCAATACAAAAGGCAGCTTTAAAGTCTCAAAAAAGAAAGCAGTTAGCTGATGAGAAAAGAGAAAAGGATAAGAAAAAAACAATGGACAGACTTTTGAAGAAACAAGAATCGAAAAACTTGAAAAATGCACAAAAAGGAAAGCCTAATAGAAAACTAGAGCCTATGATTGTTTATAAAAATAATATACAAGAAATAACTTTAACAATGCCTGCGGACATTCCATATCCATTAGAAAGAAAGTCACCAATCGAAACACCAAAGCCAGTAAAATGTGGTGTAGACAGTTGTTGTAATATCAAAAAATATAATTGTTCAAAAACGGGTATTCCACTGTGTAGTTTAGAATGTTATAAGAAAAATTTGTTTACATTAGCTCAATAAAAATGCATAAAATACTTTTGGAAATTTTATTCTTGCTACTTTACTTTAATAAATTTTATTCTTATATTGTGTATTAGGAAATAAACAGCTAAATGTCTAAGGGGGCAGGTTACACAGATTTGTAGTGACACAGAGTTGATAATTGCTATTACCAAACAATTTAAATTATTAATTTCCATAAAATACATCAAATGTAGGAACAAAGATCATATATTTTTTCAAGTATAAATAAACTCCCAAGCAATGTTACAGTTAGCTAATTTTTAGATCTTAGATAGGAAATGTCAATAATAATGAACAAATAGGGTATATAAATCATATTTCAATGGAACTGGTGAATTTTAGACATAGTTAGAAATGTCACATTTATATTGGCTAGAAAGTAACTATTTTTGTCTATTCACAATCTAAGGTTTCCCACTAATCTAATTCTAGAATATATTATTCAATAGCCTCAAAGATTTTCTTGATAGAATGTACACATGTTTTACTACAATACTAAATACTTTTTATAACAATTTGAAGATAAAAATACTATAAAACACGAAATACGTTTTAACCAATTTTGTAATTTATCTTAAAATGATTCGAAAAATAAATTTATACAAAGAAAGAAATGTAATGCAAATTTCATTAAATTAAGGGCAATCATGAACATTTTCAAGACAAACATTGCACCTAAGTCTTAATATAGTTGATACATCAATTTGGCAATTTATTTGAGCTATAGTCAATATAAATTTATTACATGCAATTTTTCTACAATATTTCATACTATGTATACTATGTACTTTAATGTTTATTTTATACAATCTATTTGACTACGAATAACATTTTGAATTCCGACAAGTTATGTACACTAATTTTTGCTATAAATATATGTGACAAATTTCAATATTTCATAAATAAACTAATACATTTTAACCAATATCACCTTCTTTTGATGTTAACATTTCATTTTGATCTTTGCATGTTTTCCACTTACGATCACTTATTTATATATGCACATAGATAATTTAAAAGCACATAATTACACATTTTAATGTCATGTGGAACATTAAATGTGAACGAAGAACAATTATAACATTACAAATTTGAATATGAAGTACATGTTACTAGTTATATTTAAACTACATCTATATTATATTTAAGATACATCAAACTTTTTAAATACATCATAGATATGTAGACACATTAGGTAAATATAGGTAAATAGTTCATCAGAGTTTAGTCACAAATGCCACCTACACTTGAAACACGTTTTAAATTCAGCGTAAGGGTCTATAGCACTGTAAAAGATTACAGAATGTAGCAAGGTGGCCAGCAAAACGATAAATCGTTGCCAGCTGTGTATCAGACGTTTGTCCTCTTTGAATTACGTAGGCGGGCCAAGCCTGACTGTAACCGCTAAGATTGATTATTCTGCTTGTTGGACCTGAGTCGGGCCAATCCTGAGCGCTCCTCCTCCTCGTCACTAGTGCAAGAAAGCCCGCCAACAGCTCCACGAGATGAAGTCGCTTGGATCAAATCTTGATCAGGTCCATTTCTGCTCTCATAAAGCAAAATGCCCAATGTCTCTTCATAAATCCGGGCCTCGGGAAATTCAACCTTTGTGTGCTTTTTATCAGTAGCATAAACAATAGATGTGCAGCAAACTTCAGCACATTTCTTTCCATGACCAAAGAAAGACCAGCAACAGATTTCAGTAGAACCGATGACATCTTTGATAAAAAGCACCCTACCACTAAAGCGCAGAGAGAGCTTGTCAAACAGTTCAATGTTCTTAAGCAAATTGTCATCTGAAGTGCTGGTGTAAGAATACTTGTTGTTATGGCGATTAATCAGCAACTTCACCACAGGCTGAAATAAAATATTCCTTTATGAATAAATTTGTTGAAGATTATTTAATTCTCATGACCCATAGGTAGATTTTTAATTACCTTTGATGTGGACATTATAAGCAATTGCTCTTCCCTTTGTGAAGTAATCAAAGGTACTCGGCAAATGGGTTCAGCATCTCGTTCCTTCTTATTTAATGCTTGCAGACAAGCTTCTGTTAGCTCCTCGATCAAAAAATACTTAGCCTCGGCGAGCAGTTCCATAGTTTCACGGAAACTCTCCGGCAATGCCACTGATCCATCGCGCAAATAGTTCAATATAGTACCGAAGTGCTTGCCGCACCGGTCGATTAAAATCCAACCTATAATTAGACATAAATAAATATGAACCAGTAAATCTTAAAAAAAAAACACGTTAAAAACATTGAAAATGAAAGTACCGTCGGAATCAGTAAGTACTTCCATCCTGCCGCTGAACATTGTTCGCAACATATTATCACTCTTAGTCAGCGTTCCTATCGTTGTATAAAACAAAGTTCCTCCCACATTTAACTTTACATACTGTGAAGGGCTCCCCTTCAAAAAGGTTTTGTGATCGCCCGACATTTTAGAAATTAATCAGAAGAGATAAACACAAATAGAGATGGCGGCGACTTTGGTTCTAAGAACTGACTTCTGAATTGTTGTAACTATTTCTTAATTTCCATTGATATAATCGTGTACAACATATTGTTTATGAAATATTGACACGAATATTACAAAAATACTACAATAACTGACAGTATTGAATTCGCAATAAAAAATGTCAGTCAGACAGACATATCCGTCCCAAAAGATAAACCAAGCGCAGGCAAAGATTAAATCAATTACTTTATTTGCGACATGCGCACTGAATTTGAGACATGCGCAGTAATTTTTAATCTACATGTATGCATGCCAGTATGTATGCCAGTGCCAGTGTAAGTATAAGACAGAAACTCTGTTAAGGGTTTGTTCCCTAGAAATTTTAATTTTTTTACTATGTTTTTCATAGTCGATCTACAATAATTTATACAGTTCATAAATTAATCCTATTTATCTCTATAGATTTTTTAAACCGAACCTTTTCCTCAGTCAAAACTTAGATTATTAAAAATAATAAAATATCAAATACGATAAAGTCTTTTTTATTTAATTTTTTTCCAAGGAAACTACCGGGTCGTCGTCGCTAGTTTTTAATAGTACTGGTGTGTACGTTTGAGTATTTTTTCCAAATACTTGAGCATCTTCAATTGTTTCGGGCAATTTTTTATTTAATGTTTCAGGCAATAACAAGGTGCTGATAACTCCGATAACTGAAACACCTGTTAATATTACAGACGACAGCTGCGAATTAACACGATGACCCTGAAAGCAACAAATCCAAGTATTATCTATTTTGTGAATTTTGCAACAAAGTGTTTACCATGTAAATTAAAATAGTTTAAACGCCTTTGTTATTATTGCAAAATTATATACTTTAATATACTTCTGTATTTTAACGATTTTGTAACATAATATACTGTTCATAGATAAAATCAATCACGTTTCCAACTTATTAATACTATTGAAGTAATCATTTTGGATTGATAACTTTATTTACACAAAAGAGACTAAGATGTGATGCTCTCTCCTCTGTACTTACCAAATAGAATATGTAAGGAGCTAAAGCAGAACCTCCACTGGAAAACAAATTCCCTAAAGACATTCCAGATTGTCGGATGCAAGTTGGATAAAGTTCGAAGTTAAATATGTTTATTATGTAATAACCCATCGTTGCCGACAACCTGGTTATAATCACTATACCACTGCCCATCAATGGGTGCCGAAATATTGCATTTGAACCTAAAACAACAGAAATATTTCGAAGGTAACAATTGCCTTTTATTATCTTAGCAGAATAATTATTGGATACTAACTGCTTTCCCTCAACGCCAGGATGATCCACATGCAAGCACCAACAGCAAAAGACAATACGCCAGTGTTTCGACGACCAATTCGATCGGAGAGCCACGCAGCTATAAAATATCCAGGTACTTCGGCTATTGCTTGCCAAAGGAACTCGAGAAAAGGATTCCCATCGGATTTGTCTCCTGAACTCATCATTATAACTGTATAGTTCACACTTATGCAAACCCTGTGAACATCTGATTTGGTCAAATAGTATACATAGGTATTATTTTTTTTATAAGTTAAATAACTTATGGACTCGTAATAAGGATTTATATAGTTACAAGTGCAAGCTTAGATGCCACCCTTGATATATTTTTCACTTCATCCTATTGTTACCTAAAAATGGAGATAACTGGAAAGATAATAGGGAAAAAAGAGGATACCAACTCTAATGATTGTAATAGTTTTGTACGTTTGTCACCTGCACTTAAAAAAGAGGGGCCTTGTTTTTTTCTCTTAATTTAATATTTTAGTGAAATGTGATGGAAGTAAAATTTCATAGCTTTTATTAATTTTTTATTTGATTTACATACGTACCAGAACATTAATTGTAGTGTAGTATTTTTAGCTAATGTCCACCCTGAAAATAGAGCGATGTATCCCAAAGTTTCGTTATTTTGTACAGGTTTTACAGTTAATATTGAATTCTCTGTTTCTTCTGATAGTTCTTTTTTATTTTCTTTCGCTATTTGCTTCAAATACTTAACACATTGTTTTGAATGTCCCTGAATCCATAGCCATCGAGGTGATTCAATCATCTTCCTAAAGAATTATAAAAAAAAATATATTAAAAAGGACGCTTTACTTTAGTATAAGAAGTAGTTAAAGCCCGTACCAAGAAAATATAAGAAAGGGAACCTGCAGAATAGTGGTGGCAATGAAAAATGTTTGCCAATGTCTTAACCACCAAAAAAATAATGCCATAAGTCCCATGCCAACACTCCAACTGGCGAATCGTAACGTCGCGGTAGTGGAACGACGTTCCGCAGAAGACAGCTCCATGGATATAACAGTGACGCTCTGGACAGCAGACCATGATGGGAACACGGCTATCACACATCCGATCACAAAGAAGATGAAAGACGATCCCGCCAACAGTGATATAGTTCGACCCATTACAAGCAATGCAAGGGATGTGATATACGCAGGACGCCGTCCAAAACTGAAAGAAATGTTACATAATTTATAAGTACTTATAATATTATTTATCATAAAAATTTTCTTAGCATATGGAATTCTGTGGAATTTTAGCTATGCGCCCCGCAGTGGTGGCAAATTAGACGCTGAGGCGATACCGATAATGTTAGTACGTTTACGCAGTCTGCCGTCATGTAAAAGAAAAAAAATTTAAGAAAAAAGGGTTATTCCAAACTAACGTATCTCCAAACCATCCAAAAACCATAGATCCAACAAGTTCTCCGATCTTGCTCGCAGCAAAAATATTCGCAACATATAATTCTTTGTCGCACACCCAATTGTTTTTTGTTGGAACTGTTTCTTCATACCAAGTTTTATCGTATTCATATTTATCACACGCTGTAAAATAATAAATAATTATTTAAAAATGTATACACCTTTACAAAAGGGTTACATATAAACCTTAAACGCTACAATCGATTGAACATTTTGTAACGAGACACGGAACAAAAATCAACGCAATGCAGCTTTTAAAGGTGTCTGTACGAAAAAAATGTCGACTAGCGATACAGGACTAGTTTATTTGTATTATTATCTCTCCGTTTCTACCACTCATTGCTTACTGATTAATTTGCAAAAGGAAGTGACGGAGTTTGTCTCATTGCAGTGAACAAGGATTTTTCTCCTAAAGTGGAACACCGTGGATTTTAGCGACTGTGCACAAAATACTGTTTCTGTTTTCATGTATAATGAATAAGATTACAATGTATTTTATAAAGGTTTTTCATCAGTGAAAACTGTAGTGTCTCAATATATGATAGTTAAACTAATTTTGCACATATGACCTATGATTTAAGCCTAACCAAAAATATTAAAATTATGGATTTTGCGTTACTGTCAGATACTTTATTACTTTTATTATAAGGAAATTGTTCCGCTATGATGTTGAGGGTTTTTATATATCAGGTAAAAATACCTCAAAAATTACCTTTAGTATCGTTACTAGTAGATCTATTGATGTATATTAAACAACTGTCAAACTTCACATCGCCGGCTGCATTTGTATACCTTTTTAAAGAAAACCATAATTATTACTTAAGTATACTGTCACTTGTGTTGATAATTGTATTCACTTACTGCGGAATATTAATTTCTTTCCAAGAAACTTCACTAACATTATCGGGTTTTCCTGGAACCTGACACATATGAGGAACCACCACTAAAGCCAATATTAAGTTCATGTAAGCCATTGGCCATAATATCGCGAAAATTACGTTGTAAATAATATCAAACTTTTTTTGAAATCTACCATCTTGACCTATTTCCGTGAGCGCCTGGTCAAACACAGAATCCATTTTAAACTATTTTGTTTAATTCTACCAAAAATATTTCAAATATGAACAGTAATAGGATGTAATATTAATAAAAGCGGTTCTTATAATGCTTAACGAACTACTGAGACATATTAAACGCTAGACGCGTTACGATCAAATGTTTCGTTGTGTACTCTTTCATTTTATTTAAACAAAATTTATCTCTGCATTTACACAAACCGTAAGATTTATCTTTGTATTGAAACCTATTTGAACAGTAAATTTATCATTTTATTATGTGTCTTATTTCTCAACGTTATATTTACATCTCGTTATGAAACACGATTACTTACAAAAATAATTTCAAATTACGCACTACTTATTTTTGGGTAAACACAACATTAAATTGTTTATTTCATGAATATACGAGTACATCTCATTCTCATGTCATCCGATACCTTCATACATAAATAATTGCACTATCTTAGTTCTTAAAAGGACAAAACAAAATTAGGTATTTTAATTTTAATTAAACAAGAGACTGTCAACTACAAATAAGGAAAATGTAGTGGCTGTTTTCCATTGTACTAGCTTGTACTTCATTGTTTGTTAAGTCAGTTACTGGTGAGGGCCTGGTGTGATAAAGAAAAGATAAAGAGCATCTCAAGATAAAGGGTTAATTGTTAGGTATATATTTATGATATTAAATAAACAAAAAATGTAATACCTTAGTTACCAATTAATGCTACCAAGTATGGCAAAACCACTTTTTGCGCGGTTCACACTTGGCCAGTAAAGTTAGTCAGTAGTGCTTAATAACTGGACTGGTAATCAACTGACACACTAAGAAAGTTAACTGGCGCCAGTGAGTCCGTACAATCTATGACTGGTCATCGGAACTGTCCTACTGTACTGGCCAAGTGTGTATCGGGCATTAGAGTGTAGATAGGGATTATAGTACGACATATCCGTAACACTATAAAATTACGCACAAATACATAGGTGTTAGATAAGGCGTATCCAACAGAGGTTTCTTTTACTATTTAGATAACTGTTTTGTGAATTAAAAATCCTTTTACACAGGTCACGTTTAAAAAATCCTCAAAAACTGTCAATTGGCAACGTGGGGCGTTAGTGCTGCAATAATTTTTAAACTATACCTATACCCGAGCTGACGATCTATACTGCTGCATATCTATCTTATCATAGATATGATTCCATCTAAATAAAATGTGAATTACTGCTATAATAATATAACAGAATTGTATTTTTTTTAATCATTAATGACAAAATTATCAGTTTTGTGTAAATCATATTTTACCTGTTTTTGAGACGAGTTTTGTTATCTGTGGTTGGACGGCTTGCTTGCCGCCTGCGCGATTTTTTGGGAAATTCGCGCGTCAGTTATTTTTTGGTCATATTTCATGTACACATCTTTAGTTGATCACAATGGGTGCATATTTATCTGAACCCGTTACTGAAAAAATGTCCAGCGATGAGTCGAACGCCAAACTAGAGTGCGGTGCAAGCTCCATGCAAGGATGGCGTGTCAACCAAGAGGTACGATTTGTTTGATAATTATATAGTCAAATCTTTCTGATCACTTAATCACTAGTTATTTTTGAACAAATAAAGCAATGTTCTACCGGCTTAACATAGTTTAAAAACTAGTAACGCATTATATTGACTGTATTTTCCTTTCTGCACACTTCAACTATTTTGCCCTTAGCTATATAGTGTTACACCCACGAAGAAATATTGTAGCATAGTATTTATTGCGGTAAATTGTAATCCAACCATTATAGCCATTTTCAATAATTTTTAGGATGCACATAATACAATCTTAGATTATGATGCTGAAACATCTTTCTTTGCTGTATACGATGGTCACGGCGGCGCCGAGGTGGCTACATACTGTTCACAAAATTTGCCAGAATATATTAAAAAAACAGATGCATACAAAAATGGGGACCTTGTTAATGCTTTAACAGATGCCTTTTTGGGATTTGATGCAACAATTGTAACAAAAGAGGTTATGGATATCTTGAAGGAACTTGCAGGTAAACTTTTCAAAGATTTAAAATTTTTTCTACTTATTTACTGTCCTAACGATTAGTTGTCTTAATGCAACAAATGTTAATACTTGTTTCATTTTTAGGTGAAATAAACCCGCCGGGCACAAGTGATATTGAAGAATCTGAAGATGAAAATGTTAGTAATTTATATCAAGAGGCACACCTACCTTTACAGGTGAATTATTAACCTACCATTAATGTATGAAGAACATGATATATCTTGGTGTGGTGCAGTGCACCCATCGAGGCAATCATAACTGAACTGTCTTTGGTTAAAGTCACTTTTGACAACTTCGTCACTTTACTGTGAATTTTGATTCAATGTTCTACAATGGATTTTTAGATATCAAGAAACATAACTGGCTATATTATTGTAATATCCAATACAGTTAAAATATTGGTAACTAATTTATCACAATAGGAAATTTTAGAATTAAATTAAATATTGTTGTTTCAAGTTATGATAACAGTTATGCAAATCAATATTTTAATTTAATTAGATTTATGTCAAAATTATACAACATTGTTTTGTGTAATTTTTCTTCCAAATTTATCTTATTGTTTGTATTGCATTTACTATTTCTCTTCAAGGCAAATGGCAAGGTTATAACTATACTATTACATACATTATAACTATTCTTGGGAATTAACATATATCCTTGTTTTGTAAAAAGTTTACCTTTACATATTAAAAAAAAATATTGGTGATCTATATGAAGTAACAACTGATCATATAAAGTTTCAGACACATTGAACATATTAAATAATTAAAAATTAGAGGCAAGACTGTATGTTGTCTAAAAGCTTATATGACAACTATGTCCTATAACAATTGCTGCTGCTGTCTTTTGAAACTTTATTATATTTATTTTAATACAGGAAGTGCTGGCTAAATATGAGAATAAATTAACCGCACTGCACAGAGCAAGACTTGGTGATTCAAGCACACCTCTGTCACCATGCTTGAGAGCCAAAAAGAACACAGATGAATCAGGGGCATCAGGTAATTATTATCTTGTAATAATTCAAAATTAAATTTTAAGACAGTTATAATGTTCATTTCTTTATTCTACATGTTTCAAATGATAGTATGGAATCATAGATTTCCAGATATTTGAACTTATGTTTTCATTAGCAGCATCAAGTTCAAGTTCAGGGCATGCTGCGGGCTCTAGCTTAGAACAAACTTGTGATGCCACATCTTCTAGCAAAAATGGTCTAACAGTTGATGATAAGGAGAATGCTGATGAGGATTCTGGAGGAGTTTCATCAACAAATTCCAATGAAGTGGACAAAGATCTGAATGGAGAGGTAAGTTAAGTTTATAAGTTTTACGATTATCATATAATATAGACTTAGTTCACATTATTTGTAAATCTGATCTTACTAATATAAATGTGAAAAGTTAACATGGATGTTTGTTAGAAGGTATCTATGAAATGGCTCAGTTATTGTTTGGCACAGATTTAGAACACTGTCTAGATTCTGGAAGAATGCATTGGTTACTTATTTTTGTTTTTATTCAAATCTGCATGAAACGATGGGGTGTACAAGAGCTAGTTTTAAACAAAAACTTTGACATTCTAGGTTTCAACGAGTGAACCTGATAAAGTGGTTAAGGAAAATGATAAACCAAATTTACCAGCACCTGACAGTTCTGAAGATAACCAACCTGACCAACCTGAGCAGAGCGAGGATGTCAAAAGTTCTACAAATGGTTGTAATGTTGTCACCACTGAAAATTGTAATGGAGAAGTGACAGGCTCTAAACCAATGGATGGGGAAGACAGTAATATTACTTCGTCTAATGGTTCTGTGACACCGGTCAAGTCTGGCAAAGCCAATGGTAAAGTATAGTCCAACAAGTTATCTAACCTGGTCATGAATGAAACTAAATTATGATAGCTCCTCACCAACACCCTCCTTTCTGCAGTTTTCTATGTCCATGTAGGTCTTTTCTGATAGAACCAACCAATAGCCACTTTTATAGTGATAGATGTCTACATTTGGCTGTATTTTTCCTTTTGATTTTTTAAAGTATCTGCAAAATGTGTTCATGCATTCAATGACAAATTTTGTACCTGTTTAGTTAGACAATACATGTTTTTTTTTCACTATTTCTTGTTTCAACATTAAAAAAATGCTGCCAATATGTTTGATCATATTGTCCTGACGTATTGATTTACGTAAATAGCAATATTCATGTTCTTTTCCATTGTTTTTAAGTAATACTTTTTTGTGCAGATAAATCATCGCCTGTGTCAAGTTCGGGCAAAGAAGCTCCTGAAAGGCCCAAGAAATCAAAGATACGGCGAGCAGCCGCTGCCGTGTATGAGTCCATCTTACGTCAGTTGCCTGAAGATGATGATGAGAGCGATTCTAATGATGAAACCTTTGAGGGTGGAGAGATCTGTTCATCTGATGACGATAATGTTAATGGTGTTGAAGAATCATCTAATGAGGGTAAATATCACTTATATCATAATAATCAGTGAAATATTATGTAAATAAACATTAGTTAAAAAAAGACATGTAAATCTACAGATTTTTTTCGTATTAGTATATTGTGGTTGATATTTCTTTGAGGAAAAGGCGTCAAATACATAGTAATAGAAATAAATCAGTCAAAACAACTAACCTTGTCTAAACATTTGGCTTAACAATATATTTACTTTCTAGAGTGTGAAGAAGAGGAAGACGAAGAAGATTACGAAGCAGAATCCAGTGACGAGGAAGGTGATGAGGATATAAGCATGACTGAGGAACCAGGCAATGATAGTGGATGCACAGCTATTGTTGCTTTGCTAAGAGGTAATTTTTTTTAAATAATTTTGATATCTGAAAACATGCATCTTACATTTTAAGTACTGAAAATATTCATAAACAATACATCCTTCACAAACTGACAGATTAACATTTTAATGGAATTGTGGTCAATTATTGAATATGCTACGTTTAATTTAATTTTTTTATGTCTAGGAAACGAACTATACGTGGCCAACGCAGGTGATTCCCGCTGCATTATATGCAGGGAAGGGAAAGCTATAGACATGTCTATAGACCACAAGCCAGAGGATGCTCCGGAACTCGACAGAATCATTAAAGCTGGTGGCAAAGTTTCCTATGACGGCCGTATCAATGGCGGTCTCAACTTATCACGTGCCATCGGTGACCACTCGTACAAACAGAATAAAGAGTTGGACGCCAAAGAACAGATGGTGACAGCTCTGCCTGATGTCAAAACCCTCACAGTGGACCCCGCTAAGGACCAGTTCATGGTGCTGGCGTGTGACGGCATATGGAACTTCATGTCCAGTCAGGATGTGTGCGACTTCATCATACCCCGGCTGGCAGAGGGTCGCGAAAGATTATCACAGATCTGTGAAGAGGTAAGCATCTCTTTTTCCCCACTTTTTCTCATAAATCCCACTATCTCACTAAAATACGAAATATACTATGAATGCGAAGGTATAGATGGGTGGATGTTTTTTATTAAATTTCTACAAAACTAAATGGGTCACGACGATATTTGGTACCGAACACAGCATTGAAGTCTCAGACATACGGTTATAAAGAATTTTACTTAAAAATGTTTTTTTTTAGATGTTCGACCACTGCCTAGCGCCGTCAACGATGGGTGACGGCACCGGGTGTGACAACATGACGGCCATCATTGTGAGGTTCAAGGAGGGCCTGATAGCGGAGGTGGGTCAGTGCGCCGCCGACTGCCCCAAGAAGCGCGTCGCCGACAGCGAGCCGTGCAACGAGACCCAACAGGACAATAAGAGGCAAAAACTTGACGACACACTGTCAAGTTCCGTGGTGACATCCAGTGTTTAGACTTAGGTTGACTAGGGAAACAGTGTTACGACTCATACTGATGTGTCAAGAAGGCTGCGGTCACAAAACTTCCAATATACGAGCTACAGCGGGCTGAAATACCAACTTACATGTACATTCAAAACATCAGATGAAAATGTCTACTTGGACATTTTTAACCCAATGTATCCCGCTTGTCGCAAGTTTCATGACTGCGGTCTAAGACTTTGTGGATAACATTGTCATCTAATGCAGGCCATTGATTACACTTCATTTAATTTTATGCATTCTTTTCAAGACATTTTCTCAGTTCATTTAACCGTGAGATTTTATGTAAACTGTGAATTTCCCCAAGCATTATCATACAAAACAAACAATTTGTATAATAATGCTTTTGAAAGTAAAAGGCAAAAAAGACCGAACCGGACCCCTTATAACTGAAATATATAAAAATTGAACAATACCAAAGTTCGTAAAATTAAAAGCTTAACAATTTTATTTTCATTTGTTAATTTCATACAAAATTCAGTTAATTTTCTCATACACAATGAATGGTATTCCTGTAGATCATGTTACGAATAATATTAGAATACAATTTTTCTACATACATGTAACTTGTAAATTATATTTAAGAAAGGAATAAACCATATTGCCAAAATATTTTTTTTTATTCAAATGTATAGAATTTCTAGATAGAAAATTACATTTAATTATTTGATCATGGTATTTCGATATGATCCCAGAATAACATATCTTGCCTACATTAAGACAAATTGATGTAAAACAACTTAAAATATGTACATTAGCCCATTAAACATGGTTTGATCATTTTGTTTATTAAAATGCACAGATTATTTATAGGTTTACATAAAATCTCAAAAGAAATGAAGACTTAATATTAATTCATTTATTTCTATCTTAATTACGACATTTTTCCTCTAGAATATAATAAACATCTCTTTATAGGGTCAAGATTTAGCAAATAATCTTTAAACAGGGCCGATATGGATAATATTTGTTTCAAAAGCAATAGAAAGTCGAATAATTGACTACATTCTTAGTTTAAAAGATGACAAAGTCCTTGTGATTAAAGATAATTTGCCTAAAGTAGCCTTATTTGTAATAAGAAGGTGTTACAAGTTAATTTAAGTATAAAATATAGATGCAGAACATTGGGAAGTATAGACATTTTTGAACTGATTTGTCTGTGTTAGCATTTAGTTGTAAGTTGTAAATGTAAACTTACGAAATAAATATCAAATACCACTTAAATGTTAGATGTAGAAAGTAAATTCAGTGACTTTAATCTTGTTTTAGTCACAATTTGTTTGATATCTGAATCATTTGAATCTGACAAATTTAATTAAAAAAAAACAAGCACTTGTTATATTCAGAATTACAAAAAAGTATAAAATCAATAGTAAATTCATGTGTCCCAAGTTGATACAAACCAAAAAATATGTAAATCAAAAACGTGTTTGGTAATTGTCAGTGTTCCTACAAAGTGGTTTCGTAAATAAAACAGTATATTCAATTATTTATCTGTTACTGAGTAGCATAAGTATGTAGTTATATTTTTGTAATCACAAGTTTGTAAAATTGTATTTCTCTGATTTTTAGTCAACTTCTGGGAAAAAATAAATAAATCGTTGGAAATCATGGTTAAACTTAAATGCTAATATTCTTAAAAAATAGTCCAGTCTAGGTTTGGTTGTCTGCAAAACTGGTTTCATTATAGAAATGTTTTTATTTGGTGTGTTTCAATGAAAATTACATTTTTACTGACTAAAATGGTTTTCTTTAAACGGATTTATCGCTTTAGGTGACAGGTAATAAACTATGTTAGTACAATCGGTTTAAGCTTATTTGTGAAACAATTTAATGTGTAAAATATTTTTAATCTAATACTGGGATAAGTCCTAGAAATGTCAATGATGGTTGTAAATGAACTATCGAAGTGACGTCAGATATTCTATGGTTTCCGTTTGACTTGCTTCTAATATTTGCAAAGAATCATATTCTGCATCCAGCTGTTCTAAAACCATGGACCTTTCACTTATCTCACTCTGGAATAAATTAACTAACATTATAAATCATCTCACGAACGATGGATATTGTACTAGCAATATTTCTACCAATACTTAAAACCACTGAACTCTGTTAATGGATAGGTATTTCATTTTTTCCACAGATTCTGACGATTGCGAGTGTCAAGCTGTGGTGCGAATTCTACCTAATAATAGAGAATGAATTAACTATCAGGAACTTCAACTTATGCGTTCAAGTCGGGACGAAGCAAAAGCTCATTTTCAAGCTTGACCTATCCATTTATTCAGATGAGTGTTTGGAACTCTTTTCCAGCAAGCAATAATCGCGCGATTTTACAAAAAAGGAGTTAGAGCGTGTAACACCTTTAGAAACGACCTATGCGAGCTGCGTGCTAAATTGGATGACCAAAGTCATATCCCTGACGTGCAGGAAGTAATCGTACAAAAATCCCTACCTGTAATTTAGCCTGATCGTTTTCTCTCTGCTTTGTTATGGACTTCAAGAGGTTCATAGTTCCTATAGCTGCCATTTTCTGTTTCTCTACGTTCTCTCCCAGCTCTTTAAGCGTTTCTAATAATGTACTTATTATTTTTCCAAAATCCTTCACCTCTGTAAAAAAAACCAAGAACATACATGGTCCATTGGAAAATAAAACGCAAGAATAAAGTAGTGAATGCTAACTGGTTTCATATTCTCTACATGTATCCCTCAGATCTTCAGTGTCCTTAAGAACATCTTGCTCTAATATTCTTATCTTATTGATGTTGTCATAATATAAATGTGCTTTTTGCAACTCATCAGCCATTACAAAACTTTAATAATTCGCCTTTTGCTTTCTTTTGTGGCATTTGTGTACGTTGCTTAGCAACCTGCATAAGAGCACTCTATTTTGTATTATCTATGATCAACGTCCAGCAAACCTCTTCCTAGGCCCTTGTTTGCCCTCAGTTTGTAATTCGTTCGCGGCGTTTTAAGCCGACTTCTTGAATCGGGAAATCGTGCGATAGCATGAAATAATTTTGAATTTCTCTTTGGTAGTGCCTCAACCTTCAACGACAATTTAAGTAACTTATTAAGTGTTGCTTGCTATAAAAAGCATCCATACCGTCCATGCCCATAAACAATTCTACCCTATCAGCATCAGCTGTCAGTTGTCAATGTCAAACGAAATAAACTTGAAAACACTAGTTTTTATTGCGGTTGGACCTGCAAAATTTTACTAATTTAATATCTTGAAATTAAACATAATTCAGTGTGATGTGATAACGTAAAAATAGCAATAGTTAAATAAAAACGTCGTTACTAATCAATCGTATATTTTGGACTTTGACCAACTTATGTATCGAACATGCAATAAATTCAGTCATCAGCGAAGTGTACAAACAAACGTGACGTTTTGGCTCATTATAATAATGTTTTCGTTATTGTATGGTTGTTTCTTTGTCTTGGTCACAGTGTAAAATGTTTGTATTGACTCGGACCTGTAGGTCGTAAACAATTAGTGAAAAATGGAAGGATTAACACAAAATGAAAAAATAATTTGGTCATGTTGGGAAGAGAAGTCACCGAGAGATGTAGTCAGGGAAGCGGCCGCGAAAGGCACTCATATTGATTTAGCTATTCAGTATTTAATGCAAAAAAATTCTTGGACTGAATCTTCATCAAGAGAGTGGTTCTTAGCTGAGGTATTTATTGATCTCCTAAATTGCATGTTCATCTAATTATTTAAGTTTCGCAGTTAAATTATTACTGTTTAAACAGGTTAAGACATGGACTATTCAGTTACTTCTACGAAAGCAAATCTTTAAAGTGCTACATGTCTTGAATAAAGTCAACATTAACCCTGAGGATCACCTAATGACACTGGCAGCCACCTCCTCAAACATTGAATATAGAGATTTCATTGTTGAACACTTGGAAAAACTATCAAAAGATATTAAAACCGAAAATTTGGATAAGTGGTTGAATTTCAAAAGGCATTGGAATTTACTCAGATATTTAGAAAGGTCTTTTGAAGTTGATGGAACATTTAAGCAGAATAAAGTGTTTGGTGAAGGAAATGATAGGGTTTTTGTCAATGAGAGTGAGATCAAAGCTCTTACTGTTGAAGATATTGAAAAGTATCCATCACATTGGAAATGTAAAATAGCAACTACATTGTTCTTTAACACATTTGGTAAGCAGATTTAATTTTTTATGAAACAATATGAAAATTTCATTTTATACTGTTCAATGTAATTTTTAACATCATCCAAAAAGGATTATCTAAAATTTTTCATAATAATTGTATGTTTTGAGATGTCTGATGTTTTTATTTAGTATTCAATTTATTGTACTAACAATATTGCAAAGTTTACATTTTCTGATAACCAAGACATGCTTGATTGGACATACAATTATCAATATTTTACTTAACTGTAAATAAAAGTGACAGAAAGCATTAACAACATTTAAGTTGGATGTTTATAAAAAATATTTGTACTTTTTTGTGTTCTGGGTTTTACTAAAACATTTTCATAATAATTCTGTAATTAAACCAGGGTTTTAATTATTTTTTTAGAATACTCACTACTGGACTTCTCATCCCCCCAACAAATGTGGATTCATCTTTTGGAAAGAAACAAGGCAATGGTATTAGTTCGTTGGATAAACGTCCAAACATCAGAGGTTGTTCGAGATATGAATGCAAGATATAATTTTTTTATAAATGAAAATTTTGTTAATAAACTTTTAAATGTGGATACAAAAGGATTTAGCAGTGAAGTGCTTGCGAATTTGGATAAAATTTTTCGATCTTGGCCGATCACGAATGAAATGATTCAAAATGTTGCAACAAGTAATTGTTTTGCATACACTAAATTGTGTATTTATGACACACTGTGTTCTTATGGCATAGTAAATAATGATGAGCGAAAAAATTTATATGTGATAATTTCCAGACTGGCACGAACACAGAATTTAAAACAAATTGATGATATCTTCACTGAATCTTGTGCAACAATAACTAAACAAGAATTTTACGTCGAATTGGCAAAATATTGTGTAAAAAATAAACTTTATAATGTATTAACTATGTGCGTTGAGGGACATATACTAGATACAGATTTATCAGAAGTCGAACAAGAAGCAAAAGACTGCATTGAGCTGTGGTTATTGTTTAAAAGCATCGAACAGACATCGGATAGACAGAGTCATGTTGTACCTGTATATAAAACGTGTCAGCAAATAGCAAAAAATGATATTGATAATTATATTTCGACTAATCCTTATTTAGTCCTGGGCATGATACTACTCGAGGACGATGCAAATCTATTTGACATATTTTCGAAGCTCGATATTTTACAATTCAAAGACTTCAAATTGCCCAACAAAGGTTACAAACATAAACTTCCACATTTATATAATGTTTATAAGAAATTTGCAGGTGGTTATCAAATGTATGATTCGAAAGATGTTAATGTCTATCAACTGCTCTCCGGATATCGTGGTTTAGATGTATCGAAAATATTTGAATTTCAATTAATTAATCAGAACACGAAGAGTGTACTAGCTGAAAAATCTGACAGGCGTAGTTTGGGTAGTCTGTTGTCTAGTGATGTGGAAGTAAGAAGCGGCATTAAGACATTATCTCAACGATCAGTTGATATGCCAGATTTCGAAAATGAGAAACTGATCAAGCGATACGGATACGTCGCGAAATTAAACCATGTGTACTATTTAAAGCAATACCGTCCTTGTAATGCTAGTCAGGCGTTTGTGGCACAGCAGTATCAGACGTACAATAGATTACAAGAGAAAAGTATAAAAAGCGCTTGCTGTGAAGCTCACGCTCTAGCGTTGCAGAACTGGTCGGACCCAGCGATGGCGGCCTGCGCTGTCTCTTTCGTAGCAATGATAGGCTGCAATCCCTCCAGGTGCAGAGTTCACATGTCCGCAGCCAAAATTATAAAGCAACACTTGATGGTCAATAAAAATTTCTCAGAAGAGAAAGCAAACAAAGTTGTTAATGAATATATGTCTAAACTCATGCAAAGTAACGATCAAGCTGCGAAAGAAATTTTGCAGTATTTAGAAGAAATAACGATTAATAAATTAAAACAGATACAGTCTGAAGATAAATTTGATATGACTCTAGTCTTGTATGAATCTCAAACGATGGTGAAGTTTGCAATACTCCATAATTTGCCGTTACCAGAACTTCAACTTAAGGAGTTTGTTAGGAACAATTCCTGGTTTAACTTTTTGTTATTCGGTGACGTGTTCAGATATCCTCTATCACAAATGCTGCAACTGTCTCAAGATTTTGAGAAGCAATCGTATGCGGAACACTTAAAGTACATAATGTTACACAAAACTACTGAAGAGGACAAAGATTTCAAATCTGTTTCAAGTAACGGTCAGAGAAGATTCTCGAGACTCAGTTCTATGGAAGTGGTAAGTCAATTTTTAAGCGTGTAGCTGTTTATAAAGGATGAGTAAATGCTTCTATTGACGAACATATCTAAATTTTTTTCTTAGAGTCCAACTCAAAATATTTCATTCGAGTTTCCATTGAGTTGGTACATGGGTCGTGAGTTGTGGGAGGTGGCGGCGGCCTGCCACGGGCCCGAGGACCCGCCCGCCGCGCTGCTGCGCGCCGCAGACCTCTGCCGGGAGCCGCTGCTGGTACTCATCGCCAGCTGTTACGAGGTAACTCATGCTTTAGACAACCCAAACACAACAATGATACTCAATGCTCCATAAAGAAATTGTAAATGAAACTTTATATTTTGATACAATAATACGTTTATCAACCCAAATGACTTTCACGGACTTTATGAAGTCGTAATATAAATTTGATGGCCATCATCGTTCACACATTTTAGAGGTTAAAATTATTGCGCAACTAGTACCACAAATTAGGATTTTCACCTCTGGTAGGGTAATAGTATAAGTTTGAAATCTTTTATCAACAGCCAAACTCTGTAGATGTCTTATGGGCGCAATGGGTTCTGGCGTCAATAGGTGTGTCAGAGCGCACGCGCGAGGCGCTGCAGGCTAAGATCTCCCACCGCCCACTCTCTGAACAGTTCCTCGTGGTGGCAGAAGTGTGTCTTGTTGAAGGTTATATCGCCACCCTGCAAGAGTCAATGCTCGTGTTCATGTCGGTAAGATACGTATTCTTTTTTTTTATTTTGAAGCCGGTATAAAAGACTGGTAACTATTATGTTTAATCTTTTCAGGATAGCCCTCTGACATTGCTGACAACGTTCCTACACCGTTGCATCCGTCTGCGTACTTTCGACATGGAAACTTCGAGAACTCTTGGGAACTTCCTACAGCAATGCCAACGCAAGTACAGCTCGGAGTCGGCCGGCATGCCGTGGCACATGTCTAAGGAGATGTTGCAGAAGATCGCCGTTGAGTTAGTCAAGATAGCGCTGAGTTACAGCTTTGATAGTGCTTACCATCAAAGAGAGTTTCTCCGTTGCTTATCTGATGTACAATTTGAAAAAGGGTTGATGGGTAAGATGCCTTTAAAGATTCATCTTCTTAGCCACTGCTTTTTTTAATAACATTCTTTTTTCAGTGCCAACACCAAATTTTAAGACTCTCTTCGAAATCATACAAATATCAATGCAAACATCATTAGTAGTGAATATACAGAAGTTGCTAAGAGACGAATGCGAGAACTATCTCGCAGAGTGTATAAAGATGTATACAGAAAACAAGAATTACGATGTAGCACTAAAAATTGCTAAATTGGCCGCGTTACCTGTAAACGACATACTGCAAGTTGAATGGGCACATAAATATGATATGTTGCATATGAGAGAGACTGAAATCGAGGACAAAGATTTGACAATGTTCATAGCGGAATCCAGCGAAGCGTTCAAGAAAGCTGCAGTTACGTTCACCGCAGCGACAGAGTTCCTCACAAGACACGCCACATCAATAACAGATCCAATACAGAAGTTTTATTCGTACAGAATTATTATGAGCTGGTTTGAAGAGAATCATGAATACGGCAGAAGGAGAGAGGAGATCGAACATTCTATGTGGCACGCCTACTTCAACGTGGAAAACCAAGATAATGTATTCCTGAATAGTTACCATTGTCTCCTGCATTTCGTTCTTACAGGACAGAAAGATAAGACATTGTCTGAAAGTATGGGACAGATGAACGCCAATAAACGGTTTTCGGTAACTCTGCATCAGATAGAGGTAGAATCTGACGTGGGGAATATAGAAGATGTAGTGTTACTAGAAGAGCCGGATATGATAGACTGTTGGAGGAGAGTTGTGAATCAATTATTAGAGTTGAGGTTGTTAGTAGAAGCGTTTCGTTTATCAGCGTTATACGAAACTCCTCCAGAGTATCTGTACAGGACTCCCGTCTGTCCTGTTCAGATAATAAGGACGTGTTTGCGACTGGCCGAGGGCGCGTGCTCGCCGTACGAGCTGCCTCAAGAGCTTCGTTTGGTCATATCATCGCCGCTACAAAATAAACTTACGGGTAAGTGATTATACAAAGATTATTCAGACGAGTTAACAGCTTTAGATGTGCTAGTTTATTTGAATATCCATAATATATCAGTATCGGAGACTTCGGAGACTAGTTTCGAAGAGTTGGTGGTGATCCAAGAGCGTCAGGAGGCAGGTTCTGTGCCGCAGCTGGCGGCGCGCGAGGATGCAGACCGGCTTGCCGCGCTTGACGCGCTCGCCGTGCGCAGCGGACTGTCTCTCGCCAAGCAGGTACTCTGTCTACCCTACTTTATCCTGTCCTCTTAAACATCATATCACCTAAGATTAAAGAGAAAATTGCTATCCAAACTTTATGACAAATCAAAATTTCACATGAGATGTATCAAATGATATCGTTAGTTTAGTACGCCCACTTTTTTTCATCCACTGTGGACCTTTACCGTCATCCTTCTGCAGACTACCTTTTTGCTAAATTGATTTATTTCTATGGAAATATTTTTTTTATGTTTTGAAATTATTTAATCCTACATATTGTTTTCTAGATTGCGAGTTATTTCCGTATAGCATTACAAATTGGACGCGAGTACACTTTCGTGTTGAAATATGAATGTAGTCCTGTGGACTTTATCAACCTGGTGAGCGGCAGGGCGCGCATGTCGCTGGCCAATCTCGTCTTCAGGACATTTAATGTACCTTCCAAACAGGTAAGTTGCAAGTAGACTGCATTAATTACAAGTTTATTGCCAATGTTTCTGTCGTATTTTTAGTAACCATTTATAAATGATCTTTATCAAAAAAATATGCAGAACATCTTACTACTTTTTAGAAAACCAAAATTTTTGAAATATGTTCTTAAAATAATTATTACAAATAGGTTGCTGAATATCTCTGTTTGGAAATGGTTGGCGCGATAATATCGCCACATCTAGTGAAGACATCCACGTTCAGGCAAAAGGAGCACTTCCAGTACACATTATGGGGCTTTGTTCTGAATTCTGATATTGAAATGTTTCTAAACATGAGACCTGACGCTTGCAGTCACATAGGAAGGCTGATTCTCGATCATTTGATAGCCTTCCAAAAGATTTATAAAGCTACGACCACATTTAAAATACCAGAAAACACTTTAGACGACAGTTGTTTAGATTTGGAAACGTTAATAGACGAAGAATACCAGCATGTTGAGAATGATGAAGTGGAATCAGTTTTAACCGAAGAAGGTACTTTATTATCAGCTGAGACTGAGTCCGTATACTCAGTGTCGACTGTGTACACAGTCGGTAACAAGCTGACAAGAGACACCAGAAGGAATCTCTTCGATGCAATATCCCGGAGTAATGTTCACGTAAGATACGAAGTGAAATCAAATATAAGGAAGATAACTAAAGGCGCCAAACTATCAACGAAACAGGTATGTGATGCTATTATATTTTTAACTAGTTTTATAGTGTTTCGTTTTTAAGTAGTTTTAAAGAAGGGGCAAAAGGGTTTACATGATAAGGAGACAGAGGGCCCTAGACTTCACCAGGTCATTGGTTGATAACGCGCATAAAACAAACTTAACCAAATTAAAACATATTTTTTATATTTCTTGATAACGTATATACATATATACGATAATAAAATGTATTGTAAATCTTTTTTTTTAATTTTCAAGGATGATTCTGGTCTTAAAGTGATTTTCACTAGTTCTGTCTTTCATACGGTTATATAATATAACCGTATATTTTAAGGACTTCACTAAAGTATCGTATATTATCAAAAAGTTGTGTTCAGACACGATTGCGGCTGTTCACGAAGTAGTCGTTAGTGTTAGTGTTTAAATAGGTGAACATAATCTGCATCGAGCTGCTGGTGGTGGGTCACGAGTGTTTCTCGGGCGCGTGCGACACGGAGGGCGTGGCGGTGTCGCTGCGCTCGGCGCAGGCGCTGGCGGCGCGGCTGCTGGCGGCGCGCGCCTGGCGCCTCATGGTGCGTCTGCTCACCGGCCTGGCGCGCTACACAGAGTGCGCCTACATATTCCAGGTCCTTCTTGTTCTGTCTAGGTCATACTTTTAATAGGAAGTTTTAGCAGAATATATGTTCGTCAAAATAAATTTCATGAATAAAATCGAGATTCTGACCATTTTTTCGTCGCCCCGTCGTCTTCCGTGGCGGCTGGAGATGGTGGTAGTTTTTAGTGGTCTAATTTAACTTGGATAATCTGTTCGACTCGTTTAACTTTAACTATGCAATATTAAAGTAATTTAAGTTAGAACTTGTTATTATTGCATTGGGTTTGTGATTTCTACATACGAGTATCTAAGATCGGTATGTTTTTGTCTCATGTTAAACATATCTTTATTTTTTTAATGAAATACCAGGCTCTGCGTGACAACCACCAGTTCGAGTACCTTTTAGGTCAGTTCGACTACATGCTGGGCCAGCAGCCGGACAGGATCGCCGCCTTCAAGCACGGCCTCCTCGACTTCCTGAAGACGCACTGCCCCGGGGATACTGACGCGTACATCATGGTGGCTCTCCACTTCAACATGTACTCCGAAGCCGCAGACGTTAAAAGACGACAGGCGTTGAACCTCATAGATGATTTAGAGAAGATAGCGGATGAAGTTCGACCGAAGAAGACTCAGCCGACGTGGGTGATGATACATGACAATGTGTCGACTAGAACTCTGCTCGATACAGCATTGAACCACTGCACGGACGCCGCGGAGCTGTACCTGCAGGGAGGCTGCACGGGCTTCGCGGGGGAGATGGCCAGCCTGGCGCAGCAGGTCGCGCTGCAGACCGCGCTGCTCGGCGCCTCGCCCACCAGGCTCATACTGAACAGGACGCCGGAACAGATGTACAATCTAGTCACTGAATATTTGAGGTCAGTTATTTTTTGAATTCAACTTTCAAGTAATAACCATCAATATACACTGATAAAATATCCTTTATAGTTTTTAAACATTTCTTTTAAATATCCTACCAAACAGCAACCCTTTTTAGTTTTACAACAGTCGGTAAACAAATCTTCACCTGCGACCAAATTATAGTGTTTAAGTGGATGTTGAAAATATGTGTTTTCATTAAGCCTGTTATTAAAATGGTTTATTTCCATTGAATTCTATTAAATACTAGTTAGTACCCACGACTCCGTCCGTGCAAATGAAATAAAAAAAAATAATTAGTATCTTACGTGTGACAGACTATGTCCAAATTACAGGGAAATCCATTTGAAAAACAAATTAAATAATCACTTAGGGTGGGCTCCGATCTCCTCAGTGGGGATGTGAGGTGGTGATGATGATTTGTGTGTAGTTTCATGGAGGGGCTGGTGCTGTGGTGCGGGGCTGGGGGCGGAGGCGGGGGCGGGGGCGGGGGTGCGGCGTGGCGCGAGCTGGCGTACCGGCGCGCGCTCACCCACGACCAGCCCTACTTGCGCGACATGGCCGCCTACAGGCCGGACGTCGCGCACGACTTCCTGCACAGGTAACATTATGCAAAGCTTTTAATAGGTAACCCGCATTGATATTCGTTATGCACAGCTCGTTTATCTCCCCTCCTCCTTATTTTTAAAATATTAGTGGATTTCGTTATTAACACCTAGTTTACCCCCCTCTCTTTTCTATGCCTACTCAAACTTATATATGTGTTTTTTTTTAATTAACAGTTTTTTGTAATTAACTAATATTTCCCTTATTCATTCCAAATAATCTCTTGGCTTGTGCTAGAATATACGGCAATAATCAAATGGCAGGATTTGTACCCTCTGCCTCAAGATCGGTAGTCCGTACCCCAAACCATTAGGCTATTGGCGCTTTAGTTTAGATGGATGGATTTTTGTTAGAGTTTATAACCTAAACTACTGAACGGATTTTAATGAAACTTGCTTTTGTTTTTTCATTTATTTTACGTGCACGGAATCGCGCGCGAATGGTAATAGGTTATATTTGTTTATTTCATTGAAAGATACAAAACGGAGAAGAAAAAAACCCCTGCCTCTCAAGCTGCTATGACGGAACTTCGCAATCTATTGAGATGATTACTTTTAATTTGTTCGTAGACGACTAGATCTCAGTATAATCTTTTTTTTTTAAATAACTAGCATCCCAAAACCTTGTTATCGTAGTTTTAATTGGTAATATAAAATGGCTCTTGCGTATATAGTTGTAAGTAAAAAATCGTTTTTTTTATCGTTGTATTCTCTCAATTAAATTTTGCTTTATAACCGGTTTTAATGTTTATAAATGTTAACTAATATTTTATTGCATGCATATTCTCTATATTGCAGTTATCTGTAAGTCGCTGTGATATTGAACTGACTGTATTTTTATAAATTGTTGTAATAAATGAATTTATAAATCAACATTGATGTTTTAATATACCCGTTTGTTTTGCGTTATTTCTAAACTAAACTATCGCACACTTGTCTCGCTTTGATTGCTACAAGTTTATATGGCACTACTCGATTTTTAGTTGTGCAACTAAACAGTTGACTTGACTGTGACATTCGACAATCGAACAGTCGTGCGATAGTTTAGTCAAAGATGTGAGGAACGCTGTGGAAAAAAATTACATGATATCACATTTATTGGTACTTAGTAAATTTTTTTTATTCATGAAGTGTCATGGAAATACGTAAGTATATATTTTTAATTAAGGTGTGTTGGTAATAGAAATTCATACTTACGCGTAAAACCGATAAATAAACTAGGAAGGGAGAATAATAAATAGCTTTTCTTAAAATGCAATTTTAATATAAATTAACATAAACCCAACACAGGACATTGGTTATCATACATAGAGATTATAAAGCCCTAATTTAGGGTACAAGTAAAAAGAACCTCAGTTCTTCAAATACTCGAACGAATTTTTTTCCTTTACGAAAATATTTTTCATAGAAATTAAGTACCAGTTTCATAGTTTACAAAATACTGGATACAAACTACGTAGTTTTTTATACAATAATATATTTTTCATGATTTAAAAATTTAACAAAAAGTCAATAAATAATTTAAAAATAAAAACACCCTCAAGATTTTTAGGCTTTATAAGTTTAAAAAACCCAAAGTTAGAGTTTTCACAATATTTCAGGTCTATTTTGACATCTAAACTAAATAATTTATGGCTACAGCTACATTAAAAGTTATAAAGTGTACTTGGAATATAAACTTGGATACAAACTTTACATTTTTATTGTACCTTTTGGTATCAAAACAATAACGAACATTAACATATACACTTATGTCAAAACTGACCTAATATTTTGTGACTACTCTACTTAGGTTTAATAAATATCAATAACAAAAATAGTAAAATAACGTAATACGTTCAAAAATACAAACAAGGCACCATATCAAACTCACACTAAACTGAGGTTAGGACGAAAATAACTTGGAATGTTCATTACCTAATTTAAGGTAAATGCTATTTTAAAATTTCTTACAATAGATAATATTGGAATAAATATATAAAACATTTTTTAGCATATTACTGTTAAAATGTCATTAAAATGGTAAAGTAATTAGTAATTTAGCTTATTGTTCCCGAGATTTAAATGTACAGAATCCGTGTGTCCAATATCGAAGTATAGTGAAAACTACGTGAGTGAAATAGCTCTGAGCCGGCTCAAACATTCAGATCAAAAAAATTGATCCGTTCAACGACTAAATTGTCAACTCACTAACGCTAACACGATCTATAATGCAGGTACAAATTAAGCTGAGCTGTGAGCCGCTTCACTGATTTGCTTCACACTTGAGTACAGATCATCAATTTTATTGCAAATTAATTCTCATATACTCATTATTTAATTAACTCAGTAGTCTCGTATTAGTATAGCTATATGCATGAAATAACGTGAAAGAGCTATACAAGAAAAAATCTTTCTGTTTCAAGCGTGTGTAAAATTTATATAATTTGAGTTTATAAGTAATCGCATACATTTTTATTTTTCTCTAAATATTTGGACACACGGCAAGTTTATAATTCTACTATAATATTATTTTATTACATCTTGTTTCTAGGACTGAAAATAGATATCGTTATAACCTATAATTTGTATTTCCTATATAATTGACTCCGGTAACGCGGTATCCTATTCTACACTAGTTATTGTACTTAACAGTATTTTACAATACTTAATATTGCAAGATTCTTAAAAACGGTCATGATACGTAAATTGCTTTTTTATTGAGCAAAATAATTAGTTAACAGCTAAGTCAACACTACGCTTTAGTTAATCTTGCCTTTTCTTCTATCATAAGATTCATCCCTTTTATTCTCTTTGAGAAAATAGAGATAAATATATGGTTAGATGAATAGGCGAGGACCAAAAAGCGTACTGGTGCAGATATAGTTAATGAGTGCCTTTCATTTGATGAATTGTTGAACAGAAAAGCATGTCGTAATTAAAAAATTATCATCACATTGTAAATTAAACTAAAAGGCCGTCACGGTTCCTCTGAAACGCCAACGTTTTCGTCAACTTATCTTATATTTACACAGATTCAAAACCACAGACTATATAAAGTTTTATCAAACATCCATAAACATTTCACTTATTTAACATTTCTCATTAATATTCTCATTCTTAGCTTCATCACAGTCTTTGTACATCACTTATATCTATGAATGTCAAATCCTATAGGAAGGTCGTTACTTAGATATTTACAATACAAATTAATATCAGATTATTTACAAAAAGATTCATAAAATGTCAACCAGTTTAGACTGTCATGAATCAGCTCTAATTACAAAAATACAGAGATTTCTCGTTCTTTTAAAATAGTCGATTAATTTGTGAAACATTAATCGCAGATTGAGGTTTTAACTACAGTTTACTTAACTAAGTTGTAAGGAGAATTAGACGACGTGCGTGACCCTGTAGGAGTGTCGCTCGTCGAGTACTGTCTGCATGGTGCGGTGCACGTTCTCCGGGAGGTGGTCCAGCAGCATCCGCGGCATTACTTGCAGCTCCATGAAGTCCTCCGCGCATGCCCAACGCATCTCGTACGTAGGCTCCTGAGTACGCACCTTCCTGCACACAATTAGAACTAGCTATAAATTCCGATGTAAAAAATGTAGTTTTTTTATTGTCTTTTAAAGAATCAAAAGCAACGCAGTAAAACGTTATCTTTTATTATTGTTAAGTTAAAATTGAATTCAACATTTATTGCAAACTACATTGATGTCGTTTTCTCTGTGTTGGTTCTCTCAGTGCAATAAAAATTAATACAGATCTCCCTTAGTGACCAAATAACTGAGAACAACAGATAGTCTTTTTATCGTATCATCATCATCATCATCATCATCACCAGCTCACTATACGTCCCCACCAAGGGGCTCGGAGCCTACCCTAATAAGGGGTGACTAGGCCATAGTCAACCACGCTGGCCAAGTGCGGGTTGGTTGACTTCACACATAGCTTTGAATTTCTTCGCCGATATGTGCAGGTTGCATCACGATGTTTTCCTTCACCGTAAGAACGTCGGGTAAACTATGCACATATGAAAATTCGAAAAAGTCGAAAATCACATTGGTACATGGCGGGATTCGAACCCAAGACCTGTAGATTACAAGTCAAGTGTTCAAACCACTGAGCCACCGACGCTCTCGCGACGCTTTTTATCGTATACATGTTAATAATTTACCTCGCTTCATCTTCTTCATTCCTTTGATTAGACATGGAAATTTCATTACAATTTCTTTATACTCTCATTATACAGAGTAGAAAAATAAAAATGTATAAGTACAGGATCTTAAATGTATTTTGTTTAGTATTGAAGTATTATAAATGACTTACTTCTCAATGCCCATGCGCTTTCGTCTGACGATATGCAGGATACGACCAGCGGTGAACAGCCGCGCTGACGAGAAGCGGCGCGCGAACACATTCCGCGACACTAGCGCCGCCTCCTGGTTGTACAACTGCATTTATACACCATGACCGTAAAATGGATTTTACAATTACATCTTTAGTAATAAAATCAATAAGATGGATATATCTCTACTCTCTACAAATATAATAAAGCGTAAACACACTACTTTGTGGCGTAGGATGCCAGCAATCACAGCATTAGGCTATATATTTTCACGCTATTAAACTTAGCGGTAAATAATTGAAAAAAAAAACCCTCATGTGGGAAAGGGATCATAAATTTAAAGCTGCCAACATTAAAGAACGAAAGTTTTTATGGTAACAGTAACTTTGACATTTGCAATGGAGAATTTCATAAATAATACATTGATATAAATAAGTTATGGTAAACACTTTGATTAAATACTCAATTAACACTTTTTACAACTTAATTACAAATATCAATAACAATTTAGCATAATTTTAGCATTACAATTACAAACACCTTTGCATGTGAAAATGGTTATTTTGCGATGTGAATATGATATTAATTACAATTGAAATTTAAAAGTTACATGCACAGATGATAATGATCTAAACATCAAACGATATTAACCAAACTAAATACTGGAGATAAGAACAAAAAAATTACAAAGAAAAAAAGCAAATGAATAACTTTTTATCTGAAGAAGTATTTTGTTCCACACGTTTGTAATGATACTGGTCATCCTTCAGCAGTATGGAACTAGAATTTACAAATTGATAAGATTTTTTAATATTTTTTTAAATGCACAACACAAATTGATAGAATAAAAAGAAAGGTAAAAAAGATCAAACTTAAATCTAAAATTAAAACAACACCTACCTCCATAACATAAAGATATTTCGTGATAAAAGAAATAATAAAGTATTACAAAATGGTCGAAATGTCACGAAACACCTTCACAAAAAAGCACCATGCCAATGAAAAAGAAGCGATGAGACCAATGCGACACGGACGACACGTCACGGCACACGGCACGTGACGTCAAGCGGCACAGCACACAGCACACAGCACACGGCAGCTAGTAGAAAGTGGTGAACTGACAGCACTCACGGTGGAGACGCCCTGCGCCAGCAGCGCGTCGCTGTCGTCCGCCGCGTGTGCTTCCAGCTCCTCCGGCCGCCGCCACGTCGACTCCAGGTCGCGCGCCGGCACGCCGAACAGCGCGTACCCGAACCCGTTCAGCATTATACGGTACTGCCACCAAACATATCTAGTACACGATACTGAAAACCCGCTGTTGGTATTTGCAATTGCATTTTACGAAATCTCACTAAAATTATAAATGCGACAGTTTATATGGATAAACGAATGGATGGTTTGTTAGAAGGTATATCTATAAAGCTTCACGGGTCTCGATGAAATTTGTCACAGATGTAGAATATAATCTGGAAGAACACATAGGATTCTTCCTTTTTTTAATACCGCGCGGACTAAGTTGCAGGAAAAAGCACATAATAGTATTTTTCAATATTTTATGGACTTTGAGCCTTTAAAATATTCGGAAAATACTACAATATATAATTTTGTTACTCTGTACATTGAACTTTCCGATTTTGTATAACTGAAGTCACAATTTAAAGGGAGCTTAGAAACAACATTTCTTCCTATGGAAGCAAAGTTCGTGGCATACGTACCTTGGGCAGTTTAGTGGCGTGTATGGTCTGTATGACCTTGGTGCGCAGGTTTTCAATGCTGTGCACGCTGAGCCTCATCACGAGGTCGTCGCCTACGCCTATCGTCAGCACGAAGCTCTCCGTGAAGCGCGCCGCCTCGCGACTTATTAGACCCGCTGTACGCACAGAAAACGCAACGTAAAACCAACCCTAATTAAATACAAATATTTTATTGGTTTTACAAGCCATAATGTTAAAAAAATTACAGACAGACATACAACCACCTTGTTGTAAACTGCGGGCCCCATGATGTCTTTAGACATATTTACTTCCCGATTCCCACTATTTTATTAACTAAATGAAATATGAACCAATAGATTTGGATATCCAGTAAACTATTTGTTTAGAAAAAAATGTTATCGTAATTAATTGAAAAAAAGTGTTACGGATTTTGAATTCATAAAAGTTTTCGTTAACTAATTATGTCAATTAAAAAATTATATAGTAACAGCAATTAAACAGTATCTAAACGAGGAAGAGATTACTTTGCTTTTATTAATTTTATGTTAATAAATATAAAGAAAAATAATTGTAATTACCTCTGTCGATTAGTACAAAAAGTGTTGTAATGCTTACCCGGTGTTGAAAATGCGAATACTTTTAAATGTGGATATCTGGGCCTTAGTTTTAACGCTACTAATACTGCTACGCCAGCTCCTAGACTATGACCTGGAGAAGGAAAGAACTATGTTATCTATGAATCAGCCAAAAATGCTAAAGCACACTAAATGTAGCGTATATAGCCATTTTCTTTCATTGTTTGTACATTAAAGAGTTTGCGTTAATCTCAGAAACAACGAGTGAGATTTGAAAATATCTTTTTGTATTTTATAGCGTAGTTATTAGATATGATTATAGACTATTCCGCAGTGCAAAGTTACTTTACCTGTAAGTACTAGGTCGTAATGTGGAAACTGTTGGAAGGCGCGGTCGAGCACGGGCATGAGTCGCCTCAACATCTTCGCTGCGCCCATCGACATGCCTTTGTGGGCGGCTGTCTCCTCTGGCAAGCCTGTGATAGAAAAAATACTCTAATTAACGCTTTGTTGTGAGGTTAAGCGATAAATTAATTCAAAGTACACATTAAACATTTTTTCTATAATTTAAATATTCATTACATCAAGTTGTAACCGCTTGATTTTAGGCGATATTATTATAATTTTTATAGTTGGTTCTAATGTCCTTATTTTCTTACCATCAGCCTCAAACTTCTCGGAGCCGGCTGTGAAGTCTGTGAAGATATCTCTCAGAGATATGGAGCCCCGCACCGCCACCACAATGCTCTCCCGCTCGTGGTCCGCTATCACGCAGAATGGAAGCTAAAATTTTCAATATCATTACAAAAATTATAATTATGAAACGTGTACTTATTTTTCGCCCACTACTGTTTCTAAAATCACTTACTGTAATTACTCTGTTTTTGTCTCATACGAGAAAAGTCAACTTACTTCAAAGACGCGATTGTTGAAAGACGCAAAGATAATATCATCGGCGGAGAGCTTCGACATGTACTTGACGCCAGCGAAGTGGCACAAGCAGCAGTTGTCGTCCGTCACTATTGAGTTCTTTGGCCTGAAAACACATTTATATTAGTAATCTCCATCGAATTAAGAACTTCCTAAGTGTAGTTATTTCTGTTACAAAGCAAGAGAAAAGATTTAAAATCTTTAAATTTCGAATCTGCAGTAGAGTTTTATTGGAAAGGTTATCAATGACGTACATACCGACAGCAACAGCAGGTCAAGTGCTTGGCAAGTTTGCAGAATCCGGTGAAGCAATGCCGATATAATACATAAGGCCAGCCGTACGCCGCGATAGACAGCCTCAAATAATGCAGCGCATCTTCAAGGTTCATCCAGGGCGGAGTTTCCGAGAATATTTTATTTATGTCCGTAGTGTATATAGGTTCCTCGTCGTTCAACATTTGGATACGTCTCATTTCTCTTGTCTCACGTTTCTGTCGAACTCGTAATAGTACACAACCCGCCACGACATCCGAAGGAACAAGGTCAGTCGACCTAAATAATGCGCTGAGTAGAGCTAAAACAAAATAAGGAAACTCAAGACAAATCTAATATAAGTTATTTTTCGTTGTTTTGTTTTTGTTTGTGAATGCTAACCCAGTTTATAAGCGAACCATTGACCCGAAAACAAACTCAGTCTATTTCAGATATCAAAATATTTTCGATGTAACCGCGACGTGACTCGAACACACTTGTTATGATCTTTGGTGATTTTACGCTGTTCTAAGATTAACTTTTACTCTATTACTTTTAAATTCAATCTCAGAGCTCATTGTCTAGTTTACTAAGCTCAACATATGAGAATATCAAGAGCCTTTTTGGGCGTCGAGCAACTAAATATATTACGTTAGTTATTTATAGGTACTAGTAAGTAAAATATAAGTATAATATGCACCTGCTACTTGTTGAAAAGCCTCTTTTCCGTGTTCGTCTCTTTTCAACCAACAGAACGCCCATCGGAACCTTCTAGACCACAGTCCTGTCACCTTCTTGTGATGTCTGGCTTGGTTCGGCGTGTCCTGCATGTCGTCATAGTTCACTGACCCCAGAGGATCGAACACCATAAATAGGCCGAATATCGTGAGAGCTAATTGCACCCAATTAAAAAGAACTATACCTAAAACAACAAAATGATTGTAATTTTAATTAAATTGATTCATTAAAAAAGTTATCAAATTGTAAATATTTTTTTTTCAGAAATTAAATATTTGTACAAATAATTACTTACTCTGTATAACAATACTTGAAAATTTATCCGTGACCGAGCATTCGATAACTTCGCAGAACATCCACATTGTGCCCATCACGTTTAATGCTATTTCTGGCAACACCAATAAAACTCTGCAAATAAAACATTCATGTGACAATTGTTTCAATATTAATATTCATACTCACGAATTCTCATAACGATAACTAACATTTCCTTTCAACTGCACACTTTATAAACTAAAAAACGATGAATATTTAAATGCATTTTTATGTTCTCATTTATAATTATAAGTTTAATTTCTTGTATGGTTTTTAATATTCCAAATCTAAATGATGAAAATTATTTTTGGTTACATAACTTTCACATAGTTAATAATTTTTTTAATAATATCAAGTCCCTATCTAACCACATCGTTTATGTACAAGATCCCTCTACAATCCAATTACAATGTCAAAGTTTAATTGGAAAGGATCCAAAACGGTTTGAGTTTCAGAATTGAATTCGTGTCTTTGTGAACACTTTAAGGATTAGGGCCTCTGATAACTTCATTTAACACTCCCTATGTAGAGTACTTTCATCTTACAGTATATCATAATCATACTAATATTATAAATGCGAAAATTGTAGTAATAATAATATTATAGAATGATAACGTAGCCATTTATTGGAGAAAGAATTTTTGAAATCAGCCCAGGCGTTTTCGAGGTAGTTCAATACAGACAAAAATACCAATCTTTCTACTTTGTAATATAAATAATACTAACTTTAATAATAACAAAGGGGCGACCATCTTCCTTGCGTCGACGTCTGTGATGGTGCCTTTGGCGGAGTGCAGGGCGAGTGCGGCCAACAGGACAAGGAGTGCTGCTTGCAGTGCCAACGTCCCGCACAGGTACAGTCGCACAAACGCGCCCCCCGACCACCCCTCGCTCGAGCACTGCCATGATATCGGGATCAGCACCTCCACTACTAGAGCTATAAGTACCAACCTGTAAACAAAATAGTGAAGAGTTTTATGTCACAGACCGATCGTGAATTCTGTCTGTTTGTAATTCGCCTAGTCAGTAATGATAACACAATTTTGTTATAAGTCGATACATATATGATGATACGTCAAGAAATACAAACAAATTGGGTTGAAAAATTTTTTCATTACAAATTGGATACAAAAGACCTACTTCATCAGTTATTTTAATAAAAATCTCAATTTCACATTAATTTTAAAATACAGAATGGCAGTAATTGGAAAATTATTCTGACCATAATCGTGTCCTGGGTCCATCGAGAAATGTCCTATAATAAGGTTAACCGATCGCGGGCCGGCGCGCTGGTCGCTGGTAGCAAGCAGTAATAAAGCCAATCAAAAGAGACATCGCAACAATTTAAAATCCATTACGAAGCTATCAGAGCGGAGTTTTCAAGGTCAAAGCGGTTGTTACCGCGCCCAAATTGAACCTTTGATGTACGAAAAAGAAAATAACCTAAAATACGTTTTGAACATATAGATCTTAACATCGGCGGCACTAATTTTAACAACTTTAAAAATATCTCTTTACATCAATGGATATCGATCGTTTACTTTACAAATTTATTTAATTATTAAGCAAAATGAAGAATTGTGTTTAATTACTAAATCGGAAGACAGCAAACAATTCCAAATTTGAAGTGTAGGTATAATTAAAATTTTGTGGAATAAAAAACTGTAGGTGGCAAATAAAAAACAATAGAGCAATTATAATGCTACAATAATAGCAAAAAACTTCTTTATAGTTAAAATATTAAACATTCCATACATCCATACGCGAGAGAAATTAAGTTTGCTTTTAATTACTGTGAAAGTTTGTGATGTAATCGATCTTTGCTAAAACTGTCGGGCTAAGTAAAATGACGTTGTCATGACTCCGATTACCAGAAGATATTTCGACAGAGATAGCGATGTGAACATTGTTTTATATATAAAAAAAAAAACATATCGACGAATTGAGTACCTCCTTCTTTTGGGAAGTCGGTCAAAAATAACCGTAGAATTACACTGCCATGCGATTACTGTACGTCACTACAGTGAAATTCTACCGTGAAGATTGTCATCATGTTTATTTAAAATACATATAGCTATAATTAATAACCATAGCAGAATCTTTATATCTTTATATTATTCAAAATGAAAAGCATTTTAGTTAATGCACACTAGTTTATTTTATTTTTTAGTTTGAATAGTTTTGTACGTCAGACAATTACAAAAGTAATTAAGGAATATCATGAATAAAACAAAAATAATAATTAAAGCTATTAAACTAAAAAAGAAACATGAGACTGAACAAAACTTGAAATTTTGATTAAAATTCGTTTTATTACAATACTAGCTTTCGCCCGCGACTCCGTTCGCGTGGAATTTAAAAAAAAAATGGTGAGAAATCTATGTGTTGTTCCAGACTATCCTCTACATCTATACCAAATTTCATCGAAATCCGTTCAGCCATTTAGATACAATCTCTAACAAACATCCATCCATCTAAACTTTCAAATTTATAATATTAGTAAGTATGTATGACCTGTATGAAGTATGATTTTCTGCAAATTACACTGTTGCGTGCATTTTTTTCAATTCACAATTTTCGTGTTGATATATTGAGCAATATGATTAATGTTTCCACAATGAGATGTACTGTGGTTGCGAGGCAAATGGTAATAAACGTAAATTACGTCGTAGGACCACTTATCCAATATAAAGGCTCATTGTTAAATAAAGTGCACAAGCTAGAAAGGCCAAAGAACATGTCACACGAATATAACCATATTGCTCAGGTATTTTTTTAATAATACTATGGGGTCAATTTAATCCCTTAATCCTCTGTATTTAATCTAATTTCTAAACCGTTAAAAACGAACACCACTTTAAATATTTACAAAAAAACAAATCTTTCTGTTAAAAAAGATTAAAAAATTAAAAAACAAGTATAAATGAATTTCCCAGGCAAAGGAAAAACCGTCATTCTAGTAGATATTTTACCAATGAGTCTATGTTTTTAACCTAAAATAAGCTACTTCTTTTTGTACAAGAAACTTCATAAATATGTTATTTTGTCGCTTCATAAAATTTTCAATCTGAGCTACTTTTTGTACTATTACAATGCCTTTATCTGACCTCTATTCTGTAATTTGACCATAAGTTAATTTTAGAAATAACACTAATTAACTTTTTTACTCTGGGGAAGACTATACAAGCCACGTTCCAAAATCGATCCAATTGTTTAGACTACTGGTCACAAGGGAATGGTCATATAAAACAGTTTTAATGCGGTAAAAATAATGAATTAACTCTATTTGAAATGTAACTATTTACTGACGTAAAAGTTAAGATGTAACTTTCCATAACATTGGTTTTGAACACTTTAGATAAGAGACTTATAGTCATAACAAAGCATAAGTTTCAACTTAACAATTAGGTTGCTCTGGCATGAATATCTTGTATCAAGTTTCACTCGAGGGGCGGCCATTTTGCGTGTCATTGCTGTGACGCTGAACACACTGTCTCAAAATTTACACATATGTTTCATACATTGTATATTATTGTTTTTTTTTTTTATTTATATGATCAATGTTTTTAATTTGTCTACAATCTTCTGTATTGTATTTGCCAAGTGTTTGCGGTTAGCCTAAACAAGTACACCAGGCAGCATAAACGATTTGCCAGTGACATGTGTCGCAGTCATTAGACTCGCATGATCGCATTGCATTTACTCCGATTTCCGTTTAGTTTCGCAAGCAAAGCGCTGAGTTAATTTATGGTGTCGGTTGCTACACGCGCGAGCTGCAATCAGACACTTATCCGACGAAAACAGTTCCATCTTCAATGGACCATTTAAGAGATGAATCACATAGTTCATATTCTTACCATACAAAGCGGAACAGAAGCTCGAAGATGCTCGGGAACACGAGGTCGTCGGAGGCTGCCAGCCATTTGCGCCCGAGCAGCCGGAGCGCCGGCATCCTGCAAACGAAATCAAACTTTAGTTATATAGTAATAAATATTTTTTTAATTCTTATCTAAAACTTTGCAATATTGTAAACATAGTTTTGTTATTGTATCTAATACCTGTGCAATATTTATATTACTCCAGACTAAAGTCTGCAACAACAAACTGTGTCAATCTAATAACAAAATGTAACCAAGAAGAATATTACAATTGCATTATGTTGATAGTAACGGGGGAATTTTAATTGTCTATTAACTGTTTTACTGTAATTATAATCATGTCAACGCTTATTGTTTAATAGCCTTCCAAGTATTGTTCACATTCCGATTGAATTATATATTCACATGACATTTTTATTAGATTAAATAATATATCACAGACTGTAGTGTTACTGCCGCATCGAGACGGTAATAGATTACTAAACGAGTCCCTTATTTTAGAGTTCAATATGAGCTTATACTTGTACTATGAATTTGACTTTGTTTTGATTATTAGATTTGACATTATTTTTGACCCACTATGAGAGTCCCTTAACAGGATGCGCTTGTGGGATACAGCCTTACCATAAGTACCTTCAAATTAAGCATGTTGGGCAAAACTTTAACTAACATATCATATGAACGAAGTTTCTTTTAATCAACCGCTTGTCAGCACCAATAAAAGTGATCCCAACCGACTGCCCTGCGGAACGCTTCATTTCTACTCGGTTTCAATTATTTTCTACGAAGTGGATTCGAGTGGATAACCGCAACAGACTACCGAATTAGGTTAAGCACGTACCGCTCCGTGACAAGGGTGACAAATTAAACTGGTGAACGAGTTTGTTGTTAATTTTCAGGCCATGTTTCGCTTAGTATTGTTACGAAGCTCGCGTTGTATTGCTTGTTTTCAAAGTTTGAACAAGTTTTGACTAAAACAAATTAGGTTTTGTCAGTTTTTGTATGATTGTAACTTTGCAACTAATATTAATAATTATCTAATCCATTATGTTGTGAAATAAATTAGAGTGTTGGCAGAAATACGCGAGAAATTGTAGGCGTAATTTTAATTACTTGGATGTTTAACTTGGTAATATCTTTATACACAAAGCAAAAACTTGAAGTGTTCTAAGCATGTTAATACGCTTGAGACCGTTTGGAGTCTTAAGAATTTTCTAAGAAATTAACTCGGGAACTGATTGCGTGTACGATACCGACTAATTGCTAAGACGTGATCTTTTAACGCTGGTTCATTTAAATTCTGAAAACGTTATAGCATTATGGAGGTTATATGTTAGTACCAATTCCTTTTGAGAATGTAAAATAGTATACATTTGAACATAACTAACTTTTGGAATGACGACAGATAATTCAAGCCTTGTTAAGCGTGTGTTTTAATTACACTTTTTAAAGAATGTAAATAACATTATATCAATTATTGTGCGTCTTACCTCTAAACATAGAAGCATCAGATTAAACTTTATTGAACAAACGACAGATGGTCAGTGAACCCGGACAACCGTGTACCAACTGCTACATGCAACAATATCCAACACAATAAGCACTATGGCTTACTCAGTCACTTAATGGCAAATTTAAAGACACTACACAACCTATGTCGACGTTAAAGATGTGGAAATTTCCTGAAATAACCACTACCCGGATTGACAAGTGACGTCATTTATTAACTAGGGCCATTTTGTATGGGTTTTTGTATTACTTAATACACGCGGGACACTTAATAGATTAAACAATGATTAAATCATTGATAACAACGTTTAAGGAAATGAATGTTAACATTTACGTAAGTGTTGTATGTATAAAATATCAGAATCAGCGGGTAGTTTCTTCGCACAGTGTCTTGCCATGTTAATTTTTTAAATATAACAAGATGATATTAAATATAGATTTATGTTACTCAGGGATGATTCGGTATTGTAATAGTTAAAGAATTCTTGAAATTAGTCGAGTAGTTTATTCGCTATCTATACCAATATTATAAAGAGGACAACTTTGTTTTATTGTAATTAAGGATCAAAAACTACTCGACCGATTAAAAATTCTTTCACCGTTAAAAAGGTAATTTATCTGAGAGTAACATAGGTTTTTTCATTTCTTTTTTATTATGGTATAATTACACGCGGACAAAGTCGCGGGCAAAAGCTAGTACACATAAATTAACTCTTTTTAATTTATTATTTAATTTCGTGGTTGGTTGTTCTGTCATGATTTATTGACTAATAACATATTCATTCCGATACATTTGTCGGAATTGTGAGAACAGTAGGAACACGTTTGTTAATCAAATAATTATAAAGATAAAATAATCAATGAATGTCTTTACTCGCGATGCAATTCAATAAATTATCACGATTCAAATATATTGCTGTTCCGTGATGAATTTTAATACGAATGCACAAAAAACAACGTTCTCTTTAACGGAGCTGGTTTAGAATTACTGGAGAGGAAATTTCCAACCTGTCTTAAATTATATTTAAAACGTAATAATAAGTTTTGGTTTGAGACTTTGGTTAATGCAGAATTTTCGCCAAGTAATCAATTGCTTTTAATATAGAGCGAGATGTGTTTTTGTTTTTTTTTTTGCCATGGAAATCCACTGTTACGTAATAAATATCGGTTATTTTATCGCATGATTTATTTGTCAGATAAGTTCATTTATTGTGTATAATTATAATTTCAAGCGTGAACGGATAATAAAGCAAGATAATAAAAACAATAACAATAATCGACCTCAATAAGTATGAATCATTTTTGTCTGAGCTAATCAGAGAGTTTGAAAACAGTTATAGAGCGGACGTTACAAACAATTAATTAATTCAAAAACACTTAATTCGTGATCATTAATAGCGAATGTTTTTCAATTGCGAATATAACAACTCCTGAATTACAGATTAGTTCATGTTGTCCTGTCTAATTATTAATATCAGATTATTGTATCTGCACAACATCGCTGCTTCCGTGTTACTGATTAACAATTATTTCCAGAAACCCATAATTATGTAGTATACAAGTCTGTAGCTATACTCAAGCATAAGTTATGACTTAAGCTTCAAATGAAATCTAATTAATATCAAACTTCCGTGACGTCAAAAGCAAATTACAATGTAGTCGTCGTCTACCTGAGTTGGGTTTGACGTAGGAACTTTTTATATAAACGTTGGTTATTTTTATTTTATAACTCAGCATCGACATTGTAAACGGCGAATGTTACAATCGTTAAACATGTCTTGATAAAGGCAAGTCCCGTAGCTGTTAAGTTAAATTTTACAAATCATTTTGCATTTACTGTAAGGTTTAAATTAGTCTTGTCACACATAATTTGTAATTTTTAGATTAACTATTAATCCGATCAATATAATAAATAACAGCGGAGTAAATGAACAATATGAAGTTTTGTTAACTTATCTGAGAGTGATGTCATTTTTAAGCTATCTGAGCCTCTATCAGTCAATGGTGGGACAGGCCCTTAAAGTCTGAGATTTTAACATAACATGTTCTACTGTCGCATGGCTCGTAAACAATGAATGGAATATCGATCTCGGCGTGTGAATATAAAGAGGATGCGCATACAGTGGCTGTGAGTTATTCATGAGCACGGTGACATCACTGTTGTGAATTCCACTTTAGAATATTATTGTGTAGGACTAACTGTAGGTTTTGACTGCTAACGGACATGTAATGTACAATAACATTGTTATCTCTATACGTGTATATATTGTTCTTCCAGTGGAAATCCAAGGTTATACAATTGCAGTCTTAAATAATATTCTAGAGCCATTTTTAAAGTAAGTCTTTTTTCTTCAAACTAAATGATTTCTAATTAAATGAGCTACAATATTTCACATCTTTCCTTATTTTTGCACACAGCATGAGTGAGCGAATACTGTTATGAAAAAATAAACACGTTAGTAAAAATAAACACATTAAGAAAATGGATTTGAACTATCGTTACAATTTATTTTAAATACAAGTTCGTGTGCTAATGAAGTAGTGTTTACGTTTTCTAATGTTTTTTTGAATATGTTTTAGGTGAAAATAAAAAACCGATCAGAAACAATTATAAATACTAGTGTTGTTGAATTGTGAGTAAAAAGTCGTGACTGGTTTCCACTATAACGAAGACTTGTATGATTAGAAGTCTCACCACTTTCTTTCTTCTCGCAGAAGATGAGAGAACAGAGTTCGGTACAACTGTTTCTTGTGAAATCTAAATTGTTAGTGACGTCGTGGTCCAGTTCTCGGTGCGGCGACCCCGGATCCAGAACGTAAATCGGTCAGCAGTCCCCTTACACTGCAACTCACCTAATTTTATCTTGAGTTCGTTTTAATAACTAAAATATATCGAGTGAATTTGTTACACATTTATGTAGTTTTTTAACTGCATGTGTATATAATTTTTAGTCTAGAAAAAAATATATTTTTTGAAGTGATTTTAGTCTCTGAAACCTTTAATCGAAACCAGAAATTTTTCTTATCTACTTTCTATTAAGATAACGAAGTCAAAATGTTTCGATAAAGTGTCCATGTTAAGTATGATTCATCCTAGATATGAATGACTTGTTAACTTGGTTTTTACATAGTATAAGATAATTTGATAATAAAAAAATTAACGATCGTATCAAAAGGGTTTTTTTAAATAAAAAACGGCAATAAATTTACTGAAATGAAACATATAAAAGCATTTTACATTTTATAATGTTACCATAATACTAAATGTAAAATACAGCAGAATAATATAAATATCGTTAACGTCGCGTGCCGATGCCGGGCTGCTCAGCCATAAAGTATATTCAATATTGAGGTCGACAGGTATTGGTTAGGAGATGCAAATCAATTTAACAGTGTCGTTACCGATTGGACGTAAAATTGATATTTAAACAATACAGCTGCCGCTCTTCAGTATTTACGACTACAACTGATGACGAATTGACGACTGAAATTAACTTTTTGTAAAATATTAGTAGATTTTCATTAATTTACTAATATTTCCTTTAACCATTCTAACTAAGCTCTAG